CAACCTCTATGGAACTATTTGAATATCTGTAAAGGTGCACTGGAAAGAGAAATGGTAAGCTTTGTGTAAAAGGGATCTTTGAAAAATCAAAATAAATATTGTAACAGCCTCTCTTAGCCTAAAAGACATGATTGTGTGGCTCTGTGGTTATCATTTCACCAATTATAGTTAATTACCACCTGATTAGTTTATTTTGGGGGGCCTCTGTCCTTGCCCACATCATTTTCCTTGGAGAACTCAGTTGATTTTCTCTGGCTTAATTGTGGCATGGCTCAGCTCAAGTCATAAAACTTTGCCATATCTCACTTCCCAGCCTCTAAGCTCAAGTGAACCATTGTAATCGAGAAAATAAATCTTACAAGCAAAATAGAGATTGCACCCTTTTCTATCCACCCTCCCATCTTTTGGAAATGACCAGGGTCAAACCCAGTTTTTCTCTTTGTCGAATCCTATCAGAACCAAATTAACTTTCCTTGTCCTGGACTAAATCCCCCATCAATTTCATAAAGTGGGTATCCAAGGATCATTGCAAGAGATATGATTCTTCTCCTCGGTGTTGTACTCTTTCTTCAGACTGAATCCCCAACATCATTACTCTTTTTCTCCCTCTCAGACAAAAAAGTGCATCACTGCAAATTACAACTATGGTTGTAGCTGTTGGAAGAAGTGCCTGGCTACTAAACTATAGGGTCATGTCATCCTTAGAGTTTTCAGCAGCAACTTATATGCAGGAAGAATGAAGTCTTAAGTAACCAAGTAGTTTCTCCCTCATGTTAACTCTCCAAGTGTGAGAGAGTTTTTCTAACTCCAAGGCCTGCCACATAACTTTATTTTATTTTCCTAACATCACATGTCAGTGTCTCGTAACAAATTGATTTGAATTATTTGTTTCTTTGATTTTGTATAGATCATGGGTGTCAAACTCGCTGTGTCACATGACGTGTCAAGACGTATCGTGACTTTTTTTGCATTGCCGGATCTGGGGTGGGCGTGCCCTCCGTATGATGCAACCGGCCCGCGGGTCAGCAGTTTGACACCCCTGGTATAGATCATCAAGAAAGGGAAAAGAAGACAATATACTTGCATAGAAAATTAAGTCAGATTTCAAAAAAGATCCTCATAATTATAAGACTAAATACACCTTTACTTATTTAAAAATAATTACTTCGAAGGCCATATTGCATAGAAGTTTTTTTAAAAAATAAATGAAGTCCTCTATCTTAAGTCTAAATTCAGTGTTCCTAGAACACACAGAGATGTAATTTCATTCTCTGCAGCTTCTGTGGAGTTAGAAAGAACAATTGTTCTATGAAGAGCAACCTACAGAGGTCATTGTTTTGAGTGATTTCTCACAGGAGGAAATGGAAGAACAAAGTCTTTCTGAGCAACTTCACCTCATTAAATCAGCTCAGCAAGTTGCCAGATAATGGTCATTGGATGGAGGTTTTGATCTCTTGCCCAAGCAGGCTACTTGATCACACTCCTGATCACCAAATATGGTCAGGTATATTGGAGGAAGTTTCTGGGAATGGAAATTAATGCAACCACTCTCTTGCGGGGAAGAAGAAGGTGGATTTATTGACATAATAGTCTGCATATAAATTAGCTTGACAGAGCTAGCGGTGCAAGGCATCAATTCCCAGGCAGTGAGAGGCTGCTATTTTAAGCTATAACAGTAAAAGAAAAGAACAAAATAATGAAATAGGGAGGTTTTCTTAAAATACAAAGGCACACATATCACACTAAGCCCACAAAGAAGGTGGGTTACAGATATCAGGAATTCTAATCTTTTTGCTGTAGATTAAATGAAACTACAACCATTTATGTTTGGTATGAAATTTAAAATCATTTGATCTTTGGTTACATAATGTTGCACTGCTTAAGGTAACTGCCAGCCAGAGGCAGTGCTGATCATTTTGGCAATACAGTGGTGGAGGGACTTCACATTTGTGCTAAGCTAGACATGTTCTTTCTGCCCCTTTTATCCATATTTAGATTCCTGAGTGAAAGCAACCGAGTAACGCATGCCTGTTCACTAATTAAGATGCTGCAAACATCCGCCCACTTAACCCACCGCAGCATACATTAATTTCACCGTTCATCCTTCTTTTAGCATTGATTGCAGCCTAGATGTTGCATAGGTGAGGAGAAGGCTGCAAATGAGGGTTGTCAAAAGCTTACCTTATTCTCATCTCTTCACACAAATACATCTAGAGCTTTGAGAGGGAATCTCTCTCTTTGTCATTGACCAACTGCTTGAGCCAAGCACCACCATATTGCTGGACTTGAAGTAGTGAGTGTAGTAAAGCTGAAGTGTTTTAATGAGAACAGGAATTTGAGCTTAACCCACAGGGAGTGAAATGTGTTCTTTGTGACCTGGAGGCCTGGAATTGGTTTGGACATCTTGATAATCAACCTTAGTGAGTTTATAAATTCTGAAGGTAGCTTCCCCAACATATAAACACAACACCTCTCAAATACTCAGCTATATTTCAATTATTTATAATTTCTCTCCCTCTCTTTTCTTTCAATCCCAAACCTGTTTTTTCATGAGTTCGAAGCTTCATGAATTCAAAGACAACAAATAGAATTTGCAAGGGCTAAGAGTCACTTAGGTGAGATGGGCAGTGTAGAAATGTGATAAATAATAAGTGGGGTTAGTGTATCCATCCTGACTCTCCTTGTTCTCTCTGCAGCTTTCAATACTATTAGTCATGATATCCTTCAGCTGACATGGCCTTGCAGGTTCTATTCCGTTCCTCTGGAATTAGTTCCAGTCAGTATTAATGGGTTGGGGAGAGGTCAAGTCCATGTCCTCTTTTTGAAGGGTTCTTCAGGGCTTGATTCTCCCCCCACCTCTTTAACATCTACATCAGGGGTGTTAAACTGTGCGCTCCCCCCCAAGGTCATGCCAAAACCGCACCCACCCCATTGCTGGCAATGGAAAAAAAGTTGCGATATGTCGCGATACGTCACGTGACGTTGCGAGTTTGACACCCCTGATCTACATGAAGTTTCTGGATGAGGTCATTCAGAGATATGGGGTGAAGTAACATCAGTAGGCTGGTGATACTCAGTTGTATATCTTTGTTTTGGATCACCCAAATAATGCTGTGAAGGTTCTGTCTTTCTAGCTGGAGGCTTTGGACAATTGGATGGGGAAGAACAGGCTTCAACTCTATCTAGGCTTTTAAGGCCTGCTGGATCTGGTGATTTTCCATCTTTAGTTCTGGATGGAGTTGCATTACTCTGTCAAAATCAGTGCACTGTTTTGGGATCCTCCTGATCTCGCAGCTCCTCCAGCCATAGCCAGGAGACCTTTTATACAGTGTTGATTAGATTGTCCCCAACTCCGCTAGCCTTTCATAAGACCCTTAAGACCCAGCTTTTTTTCTCAAGTGTGGGGGTTGGGAGGGGGTTCAGCTTGTCAGTTGAATCTCTTTGTTATTGACTGGTTTGCGTTTGATGGACATTTTTCTTTTGCTTTGTATAATTTATTTATCCTTATTGTATTGATATTTTTATTGTGTTAGCTGCCTAGCGTTGCTTATATGTGAGAGGGAATGGCCATATACATCTAATAAATAAATATATCCATAAATCTCTCCTCCAATAATTTGCTGAACAAATAGAGAGCACCTGCACTATCCCTAGGAAACCACTCTTCTTCTTAGAAATAGGAGAGACCTCAGCCAATCAATGAAATAGCTCCTTGAATAAGAAAAGAACTCTAGTTTTACAGCTGGCTGAAATGGTTTACTTTGCTATTGTTAAAAATCTGCTACTACATGAAGAATTGGAAAAGATATGCTAAATAAGATACATTTATTCCTTATTTCCTCAGCTGAGTATCAAATTACTTTAAACAATACTTTTTAAAACCTTTTCCTTTCCTTATAATTCAAAAGGGGAAGGATATGTTAAGTTAGGAGTTAGGTTTTATTTATAAATAGAATCTAATATAATGTCATTTTCCCCCCTGAAAATTGCAGTTGGAGAAATGAGTTAATTTTATATCACCCAATTCTTTATTTCAAATCCCACAGGAATTTGCTTTCTTGTAGATATGTCCAGGAAAACAAAGAAATATTCAATTTCAACGGAATTGCAAAATACTGTATACTATTAAGTATAATGTTTCTTTTTATTACTTAAAGACAACACGCAGAGTATAATTAAATATCATGAATAAGATTTTTAACCTTACGTTAATAAATAGTTGTACCAAAAATAATTAGGCCTTTTTTCTTATACTATTTTGCTTCCTTGTAGAAGCTGTTACATTTTCCCCTACCCAATGGAAGTAGATGGAGCTTATCGCTAAATGGAGGATTGATGTAAATAGCTTGAAAGTGTTGCTACAAAATCAAGAAAAAAAATAATTCATTAGACAACCCCGAAAGCAAAAAATATGGAAAGGATAACTTTTGCAGTCATTTTTTTCATTCATAGGTTTAAGCAGCACTTTTTTTGTCACTGTATCAATACTGTATGAGAGTATCAGAAATAACAAAGCACAGTGAAGTAGAATATCATGCTAATGGAAATACTAGACTTAAGGAAAACGTACCTGATTAAAAGTAGACAAACTAAAAAAATAGAACCTTTTATGCCTGCTCAGCTCTACCATTTTGGTGGAGTCTCAGACACCAGTTTTGTGGGCCGGGCCTGTAGTGCCTCTGTGTTCCCCTTGGCCAGGGGTAGCCGACCTTGGCTTTTTATGACTCGTGGACTTCAACTCCCAGAATTCCTGAGCCAGCATGACTGGCTCAGGAATTCTGGGAGTTGAAGTCCACAAGTCATAAAAGAGCCAAGGTTGCCTACCCCTGCCCTTGGCCCCTAATATAACGTGATTCAGCCCCAAGAACACTACCCAGCTGCTGTCAGATGCTTTAGTGTTGTTTCACAGGAAAGGGAGAATTGCCATCTTGTGCTTTGATTGAGGGAGAAGACTATATCAGGCTTAACAATGTGCTAAAACAGCCTCCAACAGAACCCAAGGCTGTACTAATGTCATTCCTCCCAGGCTCCCCATTCTCACATTCTTTGTCAGTTATCTCAAGAAGAATTTGAAACCTTCTCCGTGGAAAGTCAGTATTCTGTGCAATAAAAAATAAAATAAAACCTATTTCTGAAAAAGCATCAACGGGATTTTCTCTGAAGTGTCCCAGTGCCTTTCGATTTCTCTTTGTTTTGTTTGCCAACGGTATGTCGGTAAGATTTCTTTGAATAATTGACTTTCACCCATCCGCCTTCACTGACTTTGCTTTCTTCCTCTTCTTCTTCTGCTTCAGTTTTCAAGGGCATCCCTGGTATTGATTTGAATTGCTGCGGGTAATGAGTGTGTTTTCTCTCATGCGTCCTTGGCAGATGTTGATATTGATTGAAGGTTGACTGGGAAGATCTAGGATATTTCCCAGCATTTCTCAGCGTCCCTGGAGCAGCTGGGCTTCTTACAAAACGCTTTCCAGCTGCCCCTCCTCCAGGAGAGACGCTGCTATGATAGTTATTTCTGTTTCTGCTTTTGGAGCTGCCCCTTTCAGATGGACTGTCCGAAGTTGAAGTCGCACTGGAGCTGCTGCTTTCCTTGGAATTCAGATGTAAAGATGATAAATAGGTTGTTGGCGATGAGCTTCTTGATTGAATGAGTGGAGTAATATGAAAGGTAGTAGGCACGGAAGTCCGCCTCACAGCAGCAGCGTAAGTGTCTTGATTGTGAAGATAGGGTAAAAAATGGGTTAAGTTGTTGGGACTGTGGGGACGGGAATGTTGGAGAGAAGGACTGCTTGTCACACGGTGCATTTTCAGTGCATTCACCCACTGGAAGTCAATACCTGGAATGAAACAAAAGGCAACTATCAGCTTTAATCCCAAGTAGTCACAAGAGATCTGATAAGATTCTGATATTACTCTGCTGCGGGTAGCTACTGGAGTCACTACTTTGCCCAGGGGGCCACAATGGGTTGACGCTTCCTTGCAGTCTCCAATGAAGTGTAGTATTTAAAGGCAGCAGAGCTAGAAATTGGGAGGTGGTGAGTTCCAATCCCACTTTAGGCTTGAAGCTGTCTGGATGCCTTTGAACCAGTCACTCTCCCCCTGACCTAAGAAAAATAGCAGAAGCAAACCACTTCCAAAAATCTTGCCAAGTATATTTGCAGGGGCTTGTCCAGGCAATTGCTGAGATTCAAGACTGACTGCAAAGCACCCCCCCCCCAAAAAAAAACAAACCAGTATATGAACTCCCTATCTGAAAGTGTATCTTCAGGTGTAATGTTTCTACAGTTGAACTCTGTTCTTCAGATACTGTTATGATGATTTTAATTGCAGAGATTTGCAATGTAACTTTAACCACCTCACTGATTAGACAGATTTTCTGTTAACTACACATACTCCCTACCATCCCCCCCCCCCGCCAAACAGCACATCACAGATCTTTAGAGCACTGACATCTTTCATCAGTATCCTTTGGTTCAAAACTGATGATACAGGTGCAATTCAGAAGTACTCCAAGTGGGACACAAGTCATTACAACTTTAATTGCATCTTTGAAACTTACTGGAAATAATAAGACATAATTAACTGAATGTCTCTTTCTGTATAAATGACAGCCAGAAATATTAAGGTGTTATACACAAGAAGACTATGACTTCTGGGCCTCTGTTAGGCATGAGAGCTGTCTGGGTGAGTTGGGGCCAGTCCCTCCCTCTCAACCCTTCTCACAGGGTTGCTGTTGTGGGGAAAATAGGATGAGGAAGAAATATTAGGCATGTCTCTTTCAGTTGTAAAAAATAAAAGTGACATATAAACTTAATAAATATGAAATGTCCCCTGCAAAAGCAGGATTTTTGTTTCTCTCCTGATAAACTTCAGACCCTTTGAATGAGTGATAGGTGGGACTTAAGATAAAAAAAGGTTAAAAAAGCACTGCATTAGACTCCGATCGTTTGGTTGCTACAAATATATTAGTTGTATTGATTATTCTTACTTCAAATAGAAGTACAGCAGATTGGAAGATGAGAGTTTTAGGTGCAATACAGAATGCAAATTCAGGAAATAAAAATATACTATAATCCAATTTAAGATCATGACTAAACCATGGATGATTAAAGACAAAAGAGGGAGGGGTTAGATGTAAGTGTGAATGCACAACAGTATCCTCAGCCAGAGATTCTAGAAGAGCAATGTGCAAATTCTGTTTTGTTCAAGTCCTGTTCCAGGCTATGTGCAGCATGACAAGATGCTCACTTCAAAAGTTGGCTTGGCCTGGCCCATGGGTGGGGGAGGAGTTCTCAGGAATTTTAAGAGGTAAAATGGGTTTCTTAATTATCTACACCAGGGGTCTTCAAACTTGGCCCTTTTATGACTTGTGGACTTCAACTCCCAGAATTCCTCAGCCAGTGTGCCTGATCAGTAGTGGGATTCAAATATGTGAACAACCGGTTCTCTGTGTGGCTGCCGCTTCTGGAAGTCCATTCTGGACCTGGGCAACAAAAAATTGGCTACCGATTCTGCCGAAGTGGTGGGAACTGGCAGAATCCCACCACTGCCCCTGATCTACACCCTATTGGTTCCTTAAAAAAATTCCCATCTCCTAATGACGAAACAAAGAGACCCCAGATTTTGCTTCCACAGTTTGAGGGTACAAAATGGATGGAGATTTCAGGCCAACCTTTTACGTTCAGAAATGTAGCTTTTCTGATTTAAAGCAGTCTTCAACATTAGAGTGAAGTCCTAGGCTTTCCTTAGACCTCCCAGTCCCCACCTAGAGGCCATTGAGTTACTTTAGAGATCATTGTTTTCTCAACCTCAGCAACTTCAAGAAATGTGGACTTCAACTCCCAGAATTCCCCAGCCAGCATCTTAAAATGGCTGAGGTTGAGAAATGCTGCTTTAGAGAGACATTTTCCCTCTTCGCAAGTCTGGCTTTGGAACATGATGATTTTTGAAAAGGTTTTGTTTCTCTGGCATATGCTCTTTCTTAAACCTTGCCTCAGTTGACTTACTGGAATTGGATCTGCTCCGAGGGTTGCCTTCCACATTTGGGAGAGATGTCTGTATTTTCAGCTGTACTGATTTCACTTCATCCTGTTTCACGTGACTCCACTGCACTTCCTGGATGTGTTTGGTAGATTTGGGAGTGTGGACATCAGCCTATCCAAGAGAGAAGAACAAGGTCTTCAAAACCCCACAAGAACAAGCCCAATTTGTCCCGAGTTTTAATGTCTGATTCTGAAACAGGTAGTACAGGTAGTCCTCGACTTACAATTACAATTGAGCCCAAAATTTCTGTTGTTAAGTGAGCCATTTGTTAAGTGAGTTTTGGCCCATTCCATTTTACGACTTTTCTTGCCACGGTTGTTAAGTGAATCACTGCAGTTGATAAGTTACTAAGACGGTTGTTAAGTGAATCTGGCTTCCCCATTGACTTTGTTTGCCAAATGTTCGCAAATGGTGATCACATGATCTTGGGACACAGAAACGGTCATAAGTATGAACCAGTTGCCAAGCATCTGAATTTTGATCACAGGATCATGACGATGCCACAAAGGTCGTAAGTGTGAAAAATGGCCATAAGTCACTTTTTTCAGCGCCGTTGTATTTTTGAATGGTCACTAAACGAACTGTTGTAAGTTGAGGACTACCTGTAATATCAATCCCCCCCATCTAGAAAAAAATTGTTTCTTTATGCAAGGAATCCAATAGCAAATTAAAGTTTTTTTTCTTTGTGCCTTCCCACCTCAACAGTGATGGACACTCTTTTAACTATTGAGTTTTAATAGAATCATTTTGTAGTTATGGTGACTCAAGTCAATAGTCTTTTCTGCAAGAGGAAGCAGTTGCTAAGGATTTCTGGTTGTTGGGGTCTGCTTGTGGCAAGGTCCCTTTAAACTTGCTGCCAGTCACTAATTCTTGTAAGGAGCTGCAGTCTGAAAGGAGCCCGGGGGTTGATTTCCCAGTTCCCCCGAAATCAGCTCTTCTCCACTTCTGAGGCACACAAGGCCAGAATTTCACTGTCAGCCTCTCTCACCGCTTGAATCCTTGTGACAGACAGAGCTGAGATTTCAATTATTAGCCTCAGTGTGAAGTATCCCATTGGTCTTTATGAAACACATTTTTGTGTGTGTAAATATCCAAAACCCTACTCATACAAAGACTAGTTCCCATCCTATTATATGTTGCTAAATTGGTTCCATTTTTTATTTTATATTTTCCTTCTTGCCCCTTCCTTTCACCTGTTGTATCTCTAGCCTGCTAATTAGCAATGTGTCAGAAAGATGAGAAAGATGATCCCATCAGCAAGGGTTACCTACCCCAACTGATACTCAGAGAAAAAAGAGAGAGAAAGAACTTTTTAAAATTTACGTGATCAAGTTTTCCAAGCGAGCAGCCTGAGTGTGGTTTATAGCATTCAGATTTATAGGAGATTGGTCATTTAAAGCTAATTACAGACTTTTATGAAAGTGAGCCCTAAAATTTAGAAATGCAGATTCCTCGTTGTGCAATAACGCTGGCAGAATGACTCGCTTTTATTTTTCTTCAAACACTAACCTCGTAAGTCACTGTGCACTCGACAGTCTGATCTTTTTCTATCCCCACAATCCACTTCTCCATCACAAATGGAGGCTGCAAGAAAAAAAATACAACATTTACAGGTATCCTTTGCCTTGCTCCTCCCACTTCGGAGGGGCTGTTGTTTTATTTACCTGAGGACTTTTCCATGTCTGACCTCTGTTAAAAAAATATACATTTAAAAAGTGGAAAATGTCCACAAAGGTTGTGATCTAATCTATCGGGCCCCGGGAATAGCTGGTAAACCCCGCCCCACCCGCGATAACACCATCGTGTGGGTGCTAGTGGCCCCATTTGTGCATACACTGCCACCAGCATCACAAGGGTGTGTGTTGCCCATTTGCCCATGAGTGCGGGGACCAGCACGTTTGCCACGGGGGCGCATAGCCCACTTGGGCATGCGTAGGCACACTAGCACTGCCGTCGTGTGCGTGCCTGTTTGTGCATCCGTGCGTGGGGCTACGCACGCTCACATTTCCCTGCTGTTTCCTTTCATTCCGGGCCGCCAAGTCGGAAAGGTTGGGGAACTCTGATCTAATCTACCATTGCTGTTGGGCTGTAATTTCAGTATATAAAAGAAATGTTTGAATCTAAATTTGGCCAAGAAGAATCCCAATTTCTCATTCTGAAGGGCGGTATATAAATCAAATAAATTTGAATTTGAATTTTGAAGTGTTATGAATATTTAGAAGGCAATTTCTATTAATTAGTAGAGCTTTGAATGCTTCAAAAATGATTTGGGACAGATGGTTCCAAACATGCCAGAGAACAAGTATATCACCTCTTTAAAACGGTCATGTCTTTAAAAGAAAGAGAAATCAACTCTAGCCACATCCTACAGAAATCCAAAGAAAGATGTAGCTGTTTTAAAGAGATGCTGTACTGATATCCCTGTATGCTCTGAAACACCTCTTGCAATTCATTTTTGAGCCATGTCCCATCCTATTAATTAGGCTGTTGCTCCTGCTTTGGCTTTAGATCATAGATCTTTCTCTCAGACTCCTGCCTGCTCAGCTTTGAGCCAGAAAAAAACCTCTGAGCAGGATCAGACAGAGCTGGGATGGGGAGCCTTTTAACTCTAGAGGAATGGATAGCCATAAAAGTACCCTGTTGGAGTCAAATGATGCCCAGACCTGAAGCAAGCAATCTATGGGGTCAGAACTTGAAGTCAATAGGAAGATCTTTTTTCCCCCACCATCTCTTTTCTCCGCATGACTGGGAGACAGCAAGCTCTAAACACAATTTTGAATTAATGGCTTAGCCTTAGTTGCTCACCCCTAATCCTGGAGACACTTGTGACAAATATATAGTCACTCTCTCACACACACATTCACACTCATTTTCCATTCAATCACTCCTCTGCTCAATTCTGCAGATAGTCTAAGTTAAGATAACAGCAATGCACAGGCATTTATGTAATGGTGTTTAAATTGCAGCAACAGAATTAACTAGCTCCTCCAAAATTATTTGTCATGAAATGGTTCTGCTGGTTAGTTGTGTAGCTGTTACTGTGCCTTAAGCTGAGGTCGTTATTCCATAAGACTTTCCCCTTGGTTTTAATATCGCTGACTGACAGATCCCATGATCTCCTTTGAAGGCCGGATCTGACAGGAAGATTGTGACAGGTTTTGAATCCATACATATCTGGTGTCATAAAAGTCATGACACTTTCAGACGTTTCCAGATAATATAAAGGCTTGAGTCAGGTATGACTTGCGTATAAGGCAGCCTGTGCCATTCACAGGGAATCTTTGGATTTTCAGATGCAGCTTTTAGGGGAGACACAGGTAACTAAATATTACTACAGCTGCAACCATATCACATTCTTCTTACTTCTTAAACACAAAATATTGGAGTAGAATGTGAAATACCTTCTTAGCTAGCTTCACCAAATTGGTTACTGTATGTGTGTATGTGTTTGTCCCTTGTAATTTGTACACTTTTTTTTCTGGGGCAGTTTTTTAACAAGATATTTTCCCTTGTTATTATTTACAGGTAATAACTGGTGGAATGTTTCTTTTTTATGTATATTTTATTAATTTTTTACAGTAACAATCTTTAGTATTTAACAAGCAACACGTTGTCTGGGTTTCTGTGTTTAACATTAATAGTAGTACAATTTCCATTCCTAAACTTTATTCCGTTTTTCTAACCATTTATAAAAAAATTCCCATGTTTGAAAGTATTCTGAATCTTGCTTCCCCTTTATTTTCAATGTGAGCCTATCCATTTCTGCATAGTCCAAAATTTTCTTAATTATGTCTTCTTCAGATGGTATTTCTTCGTTTTTCCAGTATTGAGCAAATATAATTCTCGCTGCTGTTAATATATGTAATATTAAGTATACACATTTCTAATCATAATTTTCTGAAATTATGCCTAAATTATGCCTACCCCAGCTCCAGGAATGCAAAAAAAGTCATGATACGTCGTGACACGTCACGTGACATGGCAAGTTAGACACCCGTGGTTTAGGGCATGTCCACCAAAGATGATAATACGTGCCTGGATTTTGTCTGCATTTCCAACAATTGCTAGACACATTTTTAAACATTTTTGCTAATCTTACAGGTGGTAAGTGCCATATATAGAACATTTTATATACATTTTCTTTATAAGTAGCTGCCCTCGTTATTTTGTAGTTTCTTTCCCATAGGTTTTGTCATTTTTCTAGCTCTACATTGTGCCAAAGTTTTTTGCCCAAGTTATCATTGTTTCTTTAATTTGTTCATCTTCCATCTTTAAATTTAACAGAAAGCTGTACAGTTTCTTAATCAATTTGTCATCTGATGACAATAGTATCTTGTCTAACGTTGTCTGGTCTTTGTAAAAGCCATATATTTTTGCATCTTTCTCATATTTCATTTGCATTTGCAGGAGTGGCCACCATGATAGCTCAATGCCCTGTTCTTCCAGTTCTTGTTTAGTTTGTAGTTTCCCATCAGTATTCAAAATATCTTTATAAGTCACAAGTTTCTCACAGTTGATTAAGTTTGGGTGTACAAATGCCTCCATTGTCGAAATCCATCCTGGTATTTTCATGTAATTTCTTGATTTTACCTTTTCCCATGTCAAAAGCAGTGCATTTCTTACATAGTGGTTTTGAAAGTATGAATTTTGTTCTTCCCATACTATAGGAAAGCATGCCATCCAAGTTGTAGGTCATGCCCTTCTAGATATAACAGTTTTTTATTTCTAAGAGTTAACCATTCTTTTAACCATGTTAGTGCGGCTGCTTGATAGTACAAGACCCAATCTGTTAGGCCAAAGCCTCCTTTTTCTTTTGCTTCTTGTAACATTTTCAGTCTGATTCTAACTTTTTTCCCTTGCCAGATAAATTTCAATATCGATATATTTAATTCATCGAAATTTGTTTTGTCAATTTTTATCGGTATTGTTTGAAATAAAAAGAGTAGTTTTGGTAAAATGTTCATTTTCACCATCGCTATCCTTCCCAGGATTGATAGTTGTAAATTTTTTCATTTTTCCAAGTCTAGTTTTATTTGTTTTAATAATTTTACATAATAATTTTCTTTTATGTTGCACATATTGCTGTTAAATATATCCCCAAGTATTTAACTTTCTTAACTACTTGAAGGTCTGTTTTTACTGATAGTTGGTTTTTTTTGTTTATCTCTGAGGTTTTTAGCTATAACTTTAGTCTTTTCTCTATTAATTTTCAGTCCTGCTACTTCTCCAAATTCTTCAATCTTTGTTAATAATTTAGGACTTGTCTCTAACGCAGGGATGTCAAACTCGCAATGTCACATGATATGTCGCGACGTATTGCGACTTCTTTGCCATTGCCGGCAATGGGGTGGGCACGGTTTCGCTATGATGCATCCGGCCCACGGGCCGGCAGTTTGACACCCCTGCTCTAACGGATCCTCCAATATAGATACCAGGTCATCTGCGAATGCTTGTAGTTTGTACTTTTCATTTTTTATCTCCATTACTTTGATTTCTGGATCCTGTCTAACATTCCTGTTCAATACTTCCAAAATTAAGATAAATAATAGTGGGGATAATGGACATCCTTGTCTTGTGCCTTTTTTGATATTGAAACTCTCCATGCAATCTCCATTCACAATTATTTTAGCTGTTTGTCTATGATAATTTGTTTGAATTATATTCATAAAATTTTCTTCAAAGTCCATATGGTTTAGTTGTTGAATCATAAATTGCCAATTGACGTTATCAAAGGCTTTCTGTGCATCTAAAAAAATCAAAGCCATTTGTTTCCCTGGGTGCATTTCTTAAATTGTTCTTTATTTGTCTCTTTGGTAAAAATCCATTTTGGTCTGAATGTATAAATTCAATCAAAAATCTCTTTAGTCTTTCTATTATTGAAGCAAAGATTTTATAATATACATTTAGTAGAGATAGTGGTCTGTACAGTGGTGGGATTCAAATATGTGAACAACTGGTTCTCTGTGTGGATGCTGCTTCTGGAAGTCCATTCTGGGCCTGGGCAACAAAGAATTAGCTACCGGTTCTGCCCAACTGGTGCGAACCAGCTGAATCCCACCACTGGGTCTGTAGTTCTTTATCAGGGTCAAGTCTGTATCTTCTTTGGATATTAGCGTAATATTGGCAACTATCCATGTATTTGGTAATTTGGCTTTTAGTAATACCTCATTGCACACTTCTTGCATTGGTAAAATTAATGTATCTTGTAAACGTTTATAAAATTCTGCCGGTAGCCCATCTGGGCCTGGTGTCTTATCATTGTTTTATCTTTTTATAGCTTCTGTCAACTCCATCACTGTTATTTTCCCATTTAGCATATTTTTTAAATTCTCTGAGATTTTTGGTAACTTAGCATTTTCTAAATATTGCCTTATTTTTTCCTGAGGAATTTCTTCTGTATTATAAAGTGTTTCATAAAATTCTTTAATTATTTTTTATTGCATCATTTTGACATCGCCTCTCACATCTTGTAGTTTGTTTATCAATTTCTTCTCTCTTTCTTTTTTCAGTTTATAAGCCAACCATCTCCCTGCTTATTGGCATTTTCAAAAAAGTATTGTTTTGCTGTTTTAATTTGTTAAGCCATTTCTTCAGCTTCTATTAGGTTTAATTTGTGTTTTATTATCTCCATTTGTTTTTTAAGAGGTTTTTTTTGTGGGTCTCTTTGTAGTTCTAATTCTAGTTTTGTAAGTTCTTCTTTAAGTTTAATTTGTTGTTTGTCTTTCATCTTTTTTGCCATATAGGTTATGGCTACTCCTCTAAAATATGCTTTAGCTGTATCCCAGACATTTTGGAGTGATGTATCTTCTTTCTTATTTTCTTTAAAGAAAAATTCCATTTCCTTTACGGCTTTTTGTATAAATTATTTCTCTTTCAGTAAGAATTGGTTTAAGGTCCATCATGCTTTTTTCTTTGTTCCTCTCCAGGTCATCTTTATTGGATTATGGTCCGCTCATACGTTAGTTTCTATCTCGATTTCTTGTATATCCCTTCTTAATTCAGGGGATATCCACATCACATCAATTCTAGATCATGATTTGTGGCTGTTAGAATAAAATGTGTATTGGGATTTCTTAGGATTTATTTCTCTCCACATATCCTGTATACAAATTTCTTCTGCCATTCTGAAGAAAGCCTTAAGCCTTAGCTTTAGGCAAATAACTGAATAAATAAATAATTAAATACTACTTCAGCTTCAACCATACCACATTCTTCTTACCTCTTAAACACAAAATATTGGAGTAGAATGTGAAATAACTTCTTAGCTAGCTTCACCAAATTGGTTACTGTGTATGTATATGTGTTTGTCCCTTGTAATTTGTACACTTTTTGCTGGGGCAATTTTTTAATAAGATATTTTCCCTTGTTATTATTTACAGCTAATAACTGGTGGAATGTTTCTGAAGCCACAGTTTCCTTCAGTAACTAGAATTTTAATCTGAGTCCGTCACAAGGTAGCAAAAGCTTGTGATTATTTGTGATTATTTAAAGGGACATTTAGCATTAACATTCTCTAACTTTATTTTTAAAAAGCTTCAAACTGTTTTTATAATGTTATTCGTGTCAAAATTATGGCTGTGGCTGTCTTTATTAAAGCTGAATGATTTTAATTTTTAAAAATAAATAAATTGTCCCATCAGGCCACAAACGGAGTATTAATTTCTTCCAATCACATCAACCATCACCAGGGAATACATAGCCAAATTCCACCCTCCTACTCCACAGGCTTGGCAGACATGTACCTCTGTGGTCACCAGCTTCCAGAACATCCCTGCAGTGACACAATTTGGCTATTTTTCTTTTAGAGACCACCTTGATTAGTAACCATTCCCAAATATGACAGTAATAAATGGTATTTCTTTTTCTGACCAGTGAGTGCATTTATGACCAAATTTCATGCACCTGACAACAAAAGTTCTCAGTGTGAAACTGATTAAGGTCTAGTCAGGCAGCAGCACCAGCTGGCCAGAGGGTTCTAATGAACTAATTAAGGTCACAGAGCTGAGCTTGTAGTTAGCACTTTTTAGGGATGTACCACGCTGCAGAGAAAAACAACTCGGGAAGAGATAGCTTGTTCCAGCAATCTCTCAGCTCTGTGAAGGGGCAACAAAAGGGGAAAAAATTGGCTGGATGCCAGACACTGTGCAAGAAAACTTTATAAGATAGCATCAACCAGTGATTTTCACAGTCTCTCTCTCTCTCTCTCTCTCTCTCTCTCTCTCTCTCTCTCTCTCTCTCCTCCCTCCCTCTCTGACATGTATTCATTTAGTGACCATTTCATTTAATGACCAAGTTATTGGAACAGAATGCGGTTGCTAAACAAGGAAAGTGTTAGGAACTGTTGGGATCACACAGGACAGTGAAATCCAGTCTGTACAAATTAATCTAATTCACAACAGGAACATCTATCGCTGGTCTCAGATTTATGGCCCTCCAAGTCATTTTCAGTGGTTTGCAGTAAGATTTTTGTCACTGAGGACCATGGACAAGGCACTAAACATCACATAAGTGTACAGGTTGGTCCAGGGAGCCAACATTTTAAAACATTAAAATGTGTCAACTGATCAATCTCAGATTTGAGATTAAAATTGCTTCATAAAACATTGTATTTTCAGTGTATTGAACTCCCTGAAGAATGTACTTCAAAGGATGTGCTTCAGATTTTCTTTGTTGGAAATACAAAAATAAAAATAAAAATGAGAATGCACTGACCCATATGATATGATCCTGTTGTCATTTGAAACTTTTTTAGACTGGGATTTTAGTGTATATAACTAGATTGATGAGGAAATGTGCAAATATTAAATATGTTTACATGATACTGAATTATATACCAAAACTTGGAAATCTGTTTATTAAGACATATGGCTGCATCAGGCCTAAGGAGATGGCTAACAAAATTATACTGAGAAATTGGGGAAATGATGTTATTCCAGATGTTAAGGAATTGCTTTTGAAAATGTATAATTTATCCATCTTGGAAAAGGCATCAAAGGATGAAGCAATATGTATTACTTTGGCAGAGATTTTATATTGTACACTACATTTTCATTTGTTTATATTATACTATTGATTACTAAACAAATGATAATTGATCAGCTTAATATATAAGATAAATTTTAAATTTTTATTTCTATTTTGGGGTTTGGGTTTTTCCCTTTTTTCTTTTTCTGCTGTCTTTTTTTAAAAAAAAAAAACATTTAAGCAGTGTTCCATTTAATTGTGTTTCTTAACTTAGTTTGGTGTTTATAGTTTAGATTTTGTATTTCTTCTAAATCTAAACAGATACCGTGTTTCCCCGAAAATAAGACTGGGTTGTGGGGTTTTTTTTGGTTTTTTTTTTCCCTCCAAAAGAGGCACCAGGTTTTATTTTTGGGGGTTGTCTTTTATTCTCACCTCTGGCATCGCCAGCCCCACCCAGCCGGTCCACTTCTTCTGGGGCCGAAGGAGCAGCTTCATTCTGCAGCTGCATTCTGGCCTGCATTTCGCAGTCAGGCCTTTCCGGAAGGCCTATGCAGCTGAATACTAAGCTATGGATTGAATCCATAGCTCAGTCCTCGGCTGCAGAGGCCTTGTAGAACCGAGCTATGGATTGAATCCATAGCTCGGTTCTTGGCTGCAGAGGCTTTCTGGAAAGGCCTGTGACTGAGAAATGCAGCCCTGGCTGCAGAAGAAGTGGGCCAGCGAGGAGAGACCTGGCTGCAAGGTAAATGGGTGCAGGGCGCATGGGGCAGATCCACACACACACATGCCCTAGCTTGATTTTTAGGAGTGTGCCTCGCCCAAAAACTAGGGCTTATTTTTGGGGTAGGGCTTATATCAGGTCCACCCTCAAAAATCAAGCTACGGCTTATTTTTGGGGTAGGTCTTACTTTCGGGGAAACACAGAAATAGTGCAGGGGAAACACTCCTGGAGATAGGGCAACCTACAAGCAGAAAGAGCAACTTTATCCTCCCAATTCAGTGAGTATGTCAGCAAGCTCAAGGCCTGGTCAGAGGGCTGGGCAGTGCTGGGCTCTCTGATCAGGGAAGATGGGCCTGAAAGCTCAGAAGAAATTTCAAACAATGGCTAATTTGTTTCAAGACTCTCAGGAGATGCAATGATAGGGCTGAATGAGGAAACAAGGGCTATGGATAAAGAGAGTCTGCTGCTCTGATATTTTAATACTTTTGGTGGACCCAAAGACAATCATGAAAACATCACCATAACTACAAACTTACCTTTGTCATTTTTAAAATCTCGACATCAGGTAGATTAGTGTTAAATGTCACATCTTTTATATACGTTATTGCAATTTCGTCCCCATCCATCTCCATATACATTTTCCATTTGCAATCCTAGTTTTGGAAAGAAAATACAAAATATTAAATTGCAATGGGTTCTGCTATGAATAGAAAGCTTCTCCTTTCTTTCCAGCCATCACCTCCATATTAGTAATTACATATGTTTTTATGAATAAGTATATAGAACTGAACTTTGATGATGAAACAATAAAAAGTAGCCTGAAAAGCAAAAGTTATTTGAGTTTCTGTCACATGAGAAAAGGCTTAAGAATGGTTTAAACTGAACCACCATTGGCTGGTCTCTCGAATTGCATAAGTGGCTACAACATCATTTCCCAAGTGCGTTTCTCTTCCAGTGAAAGGTACAAAACCCAAAATGCAGCAATGTCATCAGATCTGGGGATCCCAGAGGACCCCCAGATTCCAAAATATCTCCATTATTAACAGAATAACAGAGTTGGAAGGGACCTTGGAGGTTTTCTAGTCCAACCTCCTACTCAAACAGGAAACCCAATAGCATTTCAGACAAATGGTTGTCCACTCTCTTCTTAAAAATCTCCAGTGTTGGAGCACCCACAACTTCTGAAGGCAAGAATTGTAGTTAACATCCACGCTCTTCTTTTTAATAATTTAATAACGATTATTTTTTTATTTTGTTACTTTTTCTACGCCACCCTGAGTCACTTTTTGTGAGATGGAAGGCTATACAAATTTGATTTATAAATAACTGAGGAATGGAATTTGAATTCTCTTCTAATATCCCGGTGTTGTGGGGCAGGATAGAAGCAATTCTCCGAAAAACACACCAAATCTTTATATTGTTAGCCGCCCTGAGTCCGCAAGGAGAAGGGCGGGATATAAATGTAATTAAATAAATAAATAAATAAATAAATATTGGAAATGTGCTTCCCTAGAGAATGAGAACAATCTATGTTTTGGCATTTCTGAAATAATAAGTGTTGTTTTTTCACACACATATATACATCTTCATGCTATTATGTTATACAAAGTGCCCAAAAAGAATAGGAAGTGGCAAGCCAGCCATTTAAGAAAATGCCACGGTCATTAAGCAATGCTGTTCTTTCAAATGGGCATTTTTTGAGAACTTATTTCTTCTTTGTTCCTCACATTTTGAAAGTACTCCATTCCCACTGCATTCAAGATACCGTTATGTTTCTTCTCGCACCCAGTTCCATATAAGAATGTGACTAGAGGCATGGTATTATACTGTACATAACCATTTCTGATTTGTTTTGACACATTCTTTCTCTGCTAACATTTGCATCCTGCTCACCATTTTTCTACCAGAATATGCATCTCTTAAATCTTCTCATTCATTTTCCCATCTTTAGTAATGTTCCATCAAGGTGCACAAAACAGGTACTTGCTTTGGGGGGGGGGGTTGCCTTTATGTATGACTTATAATAATTCACTATTTTCAGTCTCAAACACTATCTGGTCTTTGATGTATTAAATTTCAGATGTATACTCCTTCTTGCATCATATATTCTAGCTCAGGGGTCCCCAACCCCTGGTCTGTGAACCGGCACTGGGCTGCGGCATGCCAGAAACCAGACCACACAAACAAACAAAGCCCCACCCATGGGATGCAGGCACTACATGAAACCACGCCCCCTACATTCCGCAGAAAAACCTCTCTCCATGGAACCGGTCCCTGGTGCTCAAAAGGTTGGAGACCTCTGTTCTAGCTAACATTTGCTAAGAATTCTGAATTTAAATCCCTATCTCCTCCTGTCTCTTTGCCCTTTTGCCTGTGCTACATTGCAGCACTCCTTGCCAGCAGTGGTGGTGGTGGCAGCATCCCCAGGCTCTACTTTGCTCCTCGTGTTGCCACTGTTACCAAAGAGTTATGCCTCAAGCCCCATGCCACAGCCAGCCACCATGCCACAGCCAGCCACCCCAGTGCCATAGCTCAAAGCCCCAGCCACTTCCACCACCCTTTCTCCCAGTTCTGCTGTCCCCAGCTGACTTTCACCACTTCCTCCCCTGCTGATGAGGTGTACCCAGTCTTACCCCTATGCAAGGCAATGCCTGGCTGACCAGGCCTTCACGAGGCCATTTGGGTCCTTCTCCAGATTGCTCATGCCATTCTAGGCACTTATGACCATGCCATTCTCACAATGCTTTGGAAAGCCTTTGGAAAATCTTTATAAACCCTTATAAATCAAATTTGAGGCCTTCCAAAGCATTACGAGAACGGCATGGTCATAAGTGTAACCTGCCTGCCTAGTAACCAAGTGGCTGTAACCTTGGGGACTGGGTACATGTATCATTTGTTCAGTGCCGCTATAACTTCAAATGGTTTCTCAATGGATGGTCATTAAGTGAGGATTACCTGTAATCCCATTTTGTTGTCAGTTCAGCTAATTTGGATGTAATTCCCCTGAGCGTCTAGGGAGGACATTCCGTGTGCAAGTCAACTACTCTGCTTCCACAGATTCACATTTTTTGTTCACAACTGAACTAGGCTGATCATGTAAAATTTTCAAATACATTCATACAGCCCCCCCCTCCGCCACCATTTTTTGTTCCAATCTTAATGCCTGTCTTCCAGCCTGAATTCCATCTTAACACGGATTGCTATAATCAGGTTAATTATTCAGGCATTGCTGCAGAGCTGCCTGAAAAAAAAAAATCCCAACCCAAGGGATTTGGAACTCCATTTCCCTCAAAAGAAAGCTCTTAGACCCCAGTTAGCAATGCTCCATTACCTCTTATGGAGTCAATCCAAGGACAAATATTCCAGGGATATGAAATGAAAATATTCTGCCAGTGTAAAGCAGGCCTTTTCAGTGTTGATGGCTTGATATGTTGCCGAATAGGATCAGCTGTATAATACATGTATTTGATTTACTGTAACTCTATGCATTTAGACTTGCCTATTTTTAACTTATGAATACAGAAACATTTCTCTGTTCATTCTCCTCATGTATAAAAATGAAAGGTTATGGCTGTCTGACTCAGTGGTATAAGCTTAAAAAGTGGTCTATAGAATACAGTGGAGAAAAAAGCACATTTTAAATGGTAAATGTAGCTTTACACTCCATGCTATTGCTAACAGGTGATGGATGTTCTACCAACACTACAGCTGATGTTTTATTGTGGGATCAAATGGCATCACCATGACAAACTTCTTGGCATAGGAAGAAAGGAAATCTTTTGCATTAAACTACTGAAGATAAGTTAAAATGTGGGGGATGAATGTTTAATAGAGTTCTTGAATATGTGACAAGAGAAAATGGAAAGTCCTCATAAGTCAAAGCAGAGAAATGGACTGTGGAGGTACTGCAGTACAATCTCAAAAGCCAAGTCTTCCAATTTCACTGAAATTTACTCCCATTTAAGTATGTATAAGATTGGATTTCAATGAGCTTTCTTGATTTTCTCATTATGCTGGTCCGTAATTCTAGTTCTAATAGGGCAAAGAACATCAACTTCTAAGTATTCATTTCTGCATATTGCCAGAGGTTTAAAAAATGCAAACTCAGAAATGGTAAATGTGGATAAGTCTAGATTTTTTTAAAAAATCCAGCAATAGCTTCTGGCAGTTGAAACGTAATGGTCCCATAGGAAACACTGCTACTTTACATAAATGGAGAGTAGCTTATAAAGGTTACCCATTCCTAATTTATTTTTATTTATTTATTTGTTTACTTGTATTTTTATTATTTTTACAAATAACTCAAGGAGGTGAACATATCAACACGCTTTCCTCTTCCTATTTTTCCTCAACAACAACCCTGTGAGGTGGGTGGGGTTGAGAAAGTTAATGGCCCAAAGTCAGGCAGTTGGCTTTCATGGCTAAGGCAGGACTTGAACTCATAGTCTCTACAGCGTCTTGCTTTCTAGCCTGGTGCCTTAATCACTAGACCAGTGGTTCTCAACCTTTTTAATGCCACGACCCCCAACCGGTCGTAAGTTGAGGACTAAACCGGTCGTAAGTCGAGGACTAAACCGGTCATAAGTCGAGGACTACCCAACCAGTCGTAAGTCGAGGACTTTCCCTGCCCGGGAGCGCCGCGCATGCGCGGTTCCACCCCCTGCGCCGGCCGAGGCCTAGCTGGCAAGCGGCAGAGACGGAGTAGGCCGACCACCAGCTGGCCCAGCTCAAGGGAGGTAAGGCACCCGCCAGAAAAGGGGGAAAAAATGGCGGACAGCCTTGCTTGGCGACCCCCGTGACATGGTCGATCGACCCCAAATGGGGTCGCGACCCATAGGTTGAGAACCGCTGCACTAGACCAAACTCTCTCCCTCCCCCCCGCTCTCCTCCCCCTCCCCCCTTAGTTTGCTAATTTAGGTTAACAAAAATAACTACAAATAACATTTTATTACTAGCATGTTGATAACTAAATTGCATTTCAGGGAGTTCCAGTCTTCCATAATTCACTGAATCTGGTGACTCTGGTCATTATGGTCATTGATGTCAATCATATCCTATTAATACTGCCCTGGAAGAAGTACACTTTTACTTCTGGAAATACAGAACTTGTCTACTGGCCTGAGACTGTTCCATCTTCCCATTTTAAACAATCTTTCATCCATCATGACTTTGTCATCTACAAGTCACAAAATAGAAAAGGCAAAGTAACCCTGATGAAGATGATAGTGATATCATGTATTGAAACATTACTCAGAAAATACATTAATATTTAGGAATTCACTATAAATTGTATTTCAGAAATTTAGTATAAAGTAGAACTGTATATGCTTTGCAAATATTGGGAAGAAGTGCCTTGGACCTTACATGAGCACGAACCTTTTTGCTGGGAATCAACTCATTTGAGGGGTACTTAAAGCAGTGACATCTATTATCGGGCTCACTCAGAAGACAAAGCTGCTTTAATGAATAGCTCACGCACGATCGGAAGTACTTCTGAATCATTTTGGAGGGGTGCACAGCTCTAATTGTAATCGCCAATCCTGATCCTGTGATTTAGTGCTCTGAAGAGCAGCTCATAGCACTGGGGGTAAGAATGATGCTCTTTAAAATACAAAGGAACTGGATGCACCCTATAGAAGTGAGACAAGTGTAC